GGGGGGTCTCCTCTGCTCTCAGGGTGTCGTTGGAAGGTGGAGGGCTTTCTCCTCCCTCCCTTCTCTGCCCCCCCTACCCTTCCAACTTTCAACATCGCAGCATGTGCTCCGGATGGGAAGCAACCCCCCCCTCTCTCTCTAGCCACCCTACCCGCCTATTTTTTTTGGGGGGGGGGTTGGATGGAAGGAGCACATGGAGAAAGAAAAAAAAGGGGGGGGGCTTTCCAAGCGGTGCATGCATGCCCCCCCTCCCTACTTTGGAGACTCCCATCTCTAGTCCCCATCCCCGTAAAGAGAGAAAAGCAGGTATGGGTGGGGGGGGGCTCCTTTTGCATGCAAGTCCTCGTTTAACGTCCTTTTCCTCGAACCCCCCGCCCCCCCCCCCAAATTATTTTCCTTACCAGCCTCCGGAAAAGCGGCAACGCACCATCGAGGACTTCAACAAATTTTGCAGCTTCGTCTTGACTTATGCCGGCTACATCCCCTCCTCCAAAGAGGTGAGTGATTGGGGAGGGGGGGGGGGGGTTGTTTTTTTTTTTTTGGGGGGGGGAGGAGGGGGGGTTTGGGAAAGAACTCGCCCCTTCCTCTAAATCACACGCGCATGTGATTGAAGTCTGCATGCATGGCAAAAGCAAGCAAGCAATGCTTCCTTAGCTGGGTTAAATTTCCCCACCACCACCAAAAAATGGGCGGGGGTCTTCTTGGAGTGGTCCTGAGCCCCCCCCCCTTTTTTTGCATTGGAAGCCCCTCTGCCCGCGGGAAGGGCTCTTTCCCTTCTCCCCTTCTTTCCCCATGCTGCTTTTTGGGAAAGCTTCCCCAGCAGGAACTGCAACTCCCAGCCTCCTCGGAAGCCATTTCAAGGCCGACGCGGCCAGGCGGTGCATGCTGGGAAATGTAGGCAGTCTCCACCACCACCACCACCACCACCCCTTTGCCCAAAAGCCAGCCTGGGCAGGGCTTTGAAAGCGCCCAGTTGCATCTTGGGAAGGGTAGTTCTTGGCCACCAACCCTCTGGGAGCGTGGTGCATCTTGGGAAGGGGAGTTCTTGCCCCCCCCCTGGCAGCTGAGCTGGGCATTACAGCTGGCGTGGAAGCTGTATTGGGATTATTAGTGGTTTGCTTGCCTCCCCCCCCACCAACAACCTTAGATGTTGCTAAGATGGCTTGTTTCCCCGGAACGTAGCTTAAACCTTCTGCGTCTTCCGTGGAGCAGATGGAGAGAAACCCAGGTTGCAAATCCTTGGTTACCTCTACTGGTTGTTTTAATCCCAATTAAATATTGGACAGTTCAATGCTCACAGGGGCTGCCAATAAACTTTAGATACATTGGGAATTTTATTTTTTGTTAAGCCGTGGGCTGCTGGCTTCAAAATCATGGTTATCCAGATGTTATCAAAATTTACTGGAAATTGAGGAGGAAAGTTTATTCCAGGTGTTTCCAAACGTGACCCCTTTAAGCCTGGTGGACTTCAACTCCCAGAATTCCCCATTTAACCATGCCTGTTGTTCTTTTTTCCCTTCCTGCTCCCTAGGGCAGAGAGATTGCAGAGGAAGGGATGACAAGAGAGTAAGCAGGCATAGAGAGTTGAAGTCTAGCTAAGCTGGCTGGGGAATTCTGGGAGTTGAAGTCTACAGGTATTAAAGGGGCCACGTTTGGAGACCCCTGCTTTATTACAAGTCGCTACTGGACCCAGCAGCCTGTTTTGTTTTGTTGTATGAAACCATACAAGGATTTTAAAAGGGATGCGAAAATTAGTCCCGATGAATTAGTGGGACACGGGCGGGGAATAACGTGGGATTTTACTTTACAAACCTCGCCGCTTCTGCGTCCGTTTTTTAGAAGTCCTAATTGCAGTTCACCTTGCCAAAATGAAATAACTTGTGGAATTGCAGAGCGACGACAGTCGCGATGCAAGAGGAGCGAAAGGGAAGCCCAACAGAATTTTGGGGGGTTTCCTGGAGACATTACACTGGAAGGGGCCACGGGAGAAAGTGGAAGAGTTGTGGAGGGAGGGCCAAACCATTGTACGCACTCATAGAATGTAAATTGGGGGGGGGGAAACCCCTCTCAAAATAAAATCAATGCATGAAGGGGCTTGTATTTTTTGTTTAAATTTTTTTTACAAATTTCGTTCTATTGTACTTCACTGATTTATCTGATTATTTTTTTTGTTAGTTTTTATTTTTGTTTTTTAAATATGGTTTTACATTGTGTAAGCCTCCTCGAGTCGCCATGGGCGAATAGGCAGCCATATTAAATAAATAAATATAGTTGGGGGGGGGGCATAAAATCCAGATTCAGGGGCTTCAAAGAACAAATTTAAGACGTCAAGACCTTCTCCAAGGTGATGATTAGTGCTTTATAAATCGTAAGGCATAGGGCACATGGCTAAAAGGAGCATGTAATATTATGGCATGTATATGATGGAAGGGGAGGAAATGGGGAGGAATTGACATATGTGGGTTGCAGGTTGAGTTTTGAAATAATGTTGCTTCTCGAGATCCTACGTATTAATATCTTTTAACGACCCCATAATCCCTTGCAGGGTGGAATCTGGGCAACGGAATGGAGCTAGCAGAGTGTTTACTGGCCGGATGCCCTTCCTATCACCATGGTGGAGTTATATTTGGCAGATATATCCTCCTTGTGCCCAGAGAGAGAGAGAGAAATACGGCCTCTACCTGGGATCGAACTCCCACCTCTAGGCCATTGCACCATTCCGGTTTTTATGTGTTAATATCTAGGCCATTTATCTGATTAAGCGCAGCATTTGTTCATTGGGAGGGGGGGGGAAATCTGCTTTTTCTCCCCGTTGTCCTCAACTTAGGACCCAAATTGAGCCCAAGATTTCTGCAGTTGTTCAGGGAGTGTTGCACCCATTTTACGACCTAGTTGTTAAGCAAGTCGCAGCAATTGTCAAGTTAGTGGCATGGCTGTAAAGAGACGCAAAGGGGGAATCACGTGGCCCTGGGATGTTGCAACCGTCATAAATAGGAGTCGGCTGCCAAATGCTTAAATTTTGAACCCGTGACGATGGGGATACTGTATCGGTCGTAAGTGTGTGAAAAACGGTCCTAAGTCCCTTTCTTTCAGCGTGTTGTAACTTCAGTCGCTAAAGGAACTGTTGTAAGTCGAGGTGTCATGCCCTTGTCAGAATCAGACTTGGAGGGGGAAGCATCTGACAGGGAGTGGGAGTGGGGCTCCGTCGGAGGAAACTGGGGAAGGGCACAGTTTAGCTGGGCAGAGCAGGGGAGAGGTAGAACAAGGGAAAGGAGGCTCAGAGGAAGACCCCGGCCCACCCACTCTTCATCCTAGGGCACGCAGGGAGGAACGGAGAAGGGAGCAACGTGGGTTGGGTGGCTTACGGGCGGAGGAAAGGGCCCTGATTCCCTTCATTACCTACAGCTGGGAACACTGTATAAAAGAGGGAAGCTGTGCAGAGCAAGCAAATGTGAATTTATCTGGTATTGTGGCTTATCTGTGTTCCTGGCGTCTTCCCAACTGTGTGAGTTTTGCTGTGCTTTCAAGTCTGAAAGTCCTTCTGCCCTGTCAAACTAATTACTTCAGTTTGGTTTGTTTGGATTTTAAGTTACAGTTTGTATTGACCATGTTTTGGACTGAATTTTCTGCAGTCAAAGGCTGTTCCTGGGAGAGTTTTTCTCCAGCCAAAAGGTAACCTGGATATTGGGGGAAAAGTTGGAGATAATAAAGGGACTCTTATTGCTAATTTGACTGGATTGCCTTTGTGCCACGCCCCTCTGGGTCATCACATGACTGCCTGTCCTGCCATCAAAACCTGCTCCTATTTGTGTTGGGACAAGATCATCTCTTTCCCAGAATCTGGACTCGTGCGTTAATCCGAGGTGGGATTAGGGCTAATCTTGCCTTTTGTCTTCCCAGCAGGAGAATGACTGGACGCCGTCCAGCTCCAACTCGCCGCTGCGTCCGGAGAGCGTGGTGGACAGTGATGGCTGGGAATCCACGCAGTCGGACCTGCACACCATCGAGACCTTTGTCAAGAAGGCCAAGTCGTCGAAGAAGAAAGCCGCCTTCCGGCGCTTGAAATCCGACAGCTCCTTGCTGGAGAAGATGAAGCTGAAGGACTCCCTTTTCGACTTGGACCCGGTGGGGAAGCAGCCGCCCCCGCTCGCCGGGCCCAAAGTCCCCGCCGATCGGAAGAAGGACAAGCGGAGCCGGAAGGCTGCCTTGGAAGGCGGGGCCGTCAAGCGCAACCGGAGCGAGGTGGCGGTCGAGAAGCGCTCGCGCATCAAAAAGAGCAAGAAGCGGAAGTTGAAACGGCCGGAGCGCAGCGAGAAGCCGAAGCACAAAACCTCCGTGAGCGAGACGGACTCGGAGGAGGAGGAGGAAGAGGAGGAGGAAGAGGAAGAGGAGGAGGACGGAGCGGGCCCTCTGTGGCCGGGTGGGGAGGAGGAGGGGGCGGGGGCGGCCACGGCACTGGTCTCGGTCCAGGCGCCGCCGGAGCTGCTGGCAACCAATTTCCCCATTAAGCTGGAGGACATGGAAGGGAAGGAGGGCATCAGCCCGGATACCAGCCAGGATGGGGAAGGAAGCTCCAGCGAAGGCGAGATGAGGGTCATGGATGAGGACATCATGGTGGAATCAGGTGAGATCACACACACACACACACACACACACACACACACTGCCTCTCGGGAGGGTTCGGATTCTCCTTTCCGCATCCTCCTCTCTCTTACGTTGGCGGAACGGTCATTTTTGAGTTTAGTTTTGTTTTTTTTAGAGACCGGGTTAGAAACTGGGAGAGCGGGAGTTCTAGTCCTGCCTTAGTAAAATGAAAGCCAGCTGGGTGACTTTTAGCCGATCACCAAGAGATTGGGAGTTCTAGTCCTGCTTTAGGTATGAAAGCCAACTTGGCGACTGGCTCAGTCACTAGGAGACGGGGAGTTCTAGTCCCACCTTAGGCATGAAAACCAGCTAGGTAACTTTGGCCCAATCACCAGGAGACTGGGAGTTCTAGTCCCGCTTTGGTCACGAAAGCCAATCCCTCTCTCTCTCTCTCTCCGACTAACCCACCTTACAGGGTTGTTGTGGAGAAAATAGGAGGAGGGAGGAAGAAGGCTTAAATATATTTGCGACTTAAATCATTCACATAAAGGAATAAAGGCAGGATAACACACACACACACACACACACACACACACACACACCCTGCAAGCAGGAGATCCGACACCAATTTTTGACAGATGGGCAGTCCAGTCTCTTCTTGAAAGCCTCCAGGGATGAAGCTCCCACAACCTCAACAATATGATCCATCATTAATAGATTAACAGAGTTGGAAGGAACCTTGGGGGTCATCTAGTTCAACCCCCCCCCCAACCCAAGCAGGAGACCCTACACCATATTTCTGACAAATGGCAGTCCAGTTTTTTTTTTTTTTTTGAAACAACTTCCATGTTTCTGTTTTGAAACTTGGGAGAGACTCTTAAAACTTAAGGACCGAAAGCCATTTAAGTCGACCTGTTGAATTTTCAGGACTGCAGGCCGTCCTCATCCTTATGGCCACCGTTTCTGTTACTAAGCAAGTCTAATCATTAGGGGAATTTTGCCCTGTTTTACGACCTGCCTTGCCACAGTCGTTCAGCGAACGGCCACAGTTGTTAAATCACCGACACCGTTTTTAAGTGAATCCGACTTCGCTTGTCAGAAGGTCACAAAAGGGGAATTATACTGCAACAGCCATAAGGGCATGCCAGTTGCCAAGCCTCTCAACTTTGATCACGTGACTCTGATTATCTGTTATCTGAGGTCTTCTAGTCCAACCCCTTCACCGTTTCTTAAATGGATTTTTATTTTACTTTATATTTACAATAATCCCATCTTTCATTTCAAACCATGTGTGGACTGGGTGCCTATGTCTTGTGCTAACCATTATAATTAATACTTTTCTTACCAATATAACAATCCATTTTCTTATATAACTTATTTAATATGTCTATTTTTTTTTAAACAATCTTAACTTATTTCTCTATATAATTCATCTACTCCGTTTTAATTTGTTTTACTTCCCAACCATTGATAAATATAAGTCCCATACCATATATAATATTCCATTTCTTCTTTTTCTTTAGTTGCCAAGGTTAACCTATTCCCCCCTGCGTCAGGTTTCCAAGCGAGGACATCCATTTCGAAAAAAAAAGAGCAACGTTCCATCTTCCAAAACAAATTTCTTTTATTTAGGGAAGCAAAAGTCACATTCCCCGATAGAAGTAAACCCACATTGCCTGATGTTATCCATCTTTACCTCCAAGTCTCAGCGGGGTCAGATTTCATTCCCACGGGAACGAGAGCCTCCTAGCCTAAACAACTGTCTTTATCTCCACTCCTCCCACCTAAGGAATGTGGCAAGGCCAAAACCCTCCCCGCCATAACCAGCAAAGAGAAAGGAAAGGAATATATAAGACTAAATAAAATAGCTATGCAGAGGTCAATTTCGGGCTTGACACTCTGCACATTCAAATGTTTGTACTTTTCCCTCTATCGGTATCTTGTCACTTTTCCAATTCTGAGCAAATAACAATTCTTTGAAATACCATTTTCATACAAACGGCGGTCTAGTCCCTGAACGCAGGCTGCCCAGGCAGATAACACATTTTCTGAAATGTCTCTGTGCTTCATAGAATAAGAATAGAAATAAGAATAGAATAGAAATAAGGAGAAGGGGAGAGAATAATGGAATGAAAGAATGGAATAGAATAGAAATAAGAATGAAATAGAACAGAAATAAGGGTAGAAAATAATAGAAGAGAAGAGAAATAAGAATAGAATGGAAGTAAGAATAGAATGGAAATTAGAATAGAAAAAAGAATAGAATAGAATTCTTTATTGGGCAAGTGTGATTGTACACACAAGGAATTTGTCTTTGGTGCAAATACGCTATGCATAAAAGATACATTCAAGAGTCTTGAATCATAGGTACAACACTTAATAATGGTTATAGGGTACAATAAGCAGTCAAATCATACCAGGAAACAGTCAATATAAATTGTAAGGACACAAGCGACAAAGTTACAGTCATACAGTCCCAAGTGGGAGAAGATGGGTGAAAGGAAGGATGGGAGGATGAATAGTAATTGTAGTGCAGACTTAGTCAATAGTTGAACAGTGTTGAGGGAATTATTTGTTTAGCAGAGTGATGGCATTTGTGGGGGGAGGGACTGTCCTTGTGTCTGGTTGTTCTGGTGTGCAATGCTCTGTAGCATCCTTTTAAGGGCAGGAGTTGAAACTGTTTATGTCCAGGATGTGAGGGGTCTGTAGATATTTTCACAGCCCTCTTTTTGACTCGTGCAGGATACGGGTCCTCCATGGAAGGCAGGTTGGTAGCCATTGTTTTTTCTGGCGTCCGTGTCTGTCCTGTTGGGTTGCAGAACCAAACCAGACAGCGATAGAGGTGCAGATGACAGACTCGATCCTTCCTCTGTAATTCTTTCTGGGGGGCGGGTGGAGGCTGCCTTTCTCAACGTCCCCTTTTTTGCTTCTTCTCCAGGCGACGACTCGTGGGACCTCATCACCTGCTACTGCCAGAAGCCCTTCGCCGGGCGGCCCATGATCGAATGCAACCAGTGCGGCACCTGGATCCACCTCTCCTGCGCCAAGATCAAGAAGACCAACGTCCCCGACATTTTCTTTTGCCAGAAATGCAAAGAAAGCTCGCGGAAGCAGGCGCCGCCACCGCCGGCCCCTCAGCCCCCCACGGCACTCAGCGCGACGGCCCCCCCAGGGTCGCGGGCAGGCGGAGGGGAACCCTAGCACAGGAGTGGGGGTGGGGGGTGGGGGGTGGCCTGCGGCTCTCAAGGGCTTTCGTCCTGCGGAGGGAGTGGAAAATAAAAACCAGGCTCTGGACAGGGAGCAGAGAGAGAAAGGGGGAGGCTGCTCTGATTGGGAATCCCCTTTGAATACCAGGGGCAACCGGAAACGAGGTGGCAGGCCAGCGGAAGCGGCAACGGTAACGAAACTCCGGCGCTCGGTCGATCCTGGCTAGGCTGCAGTGGGCCCTCCTGGCCTTAAACCCCACCCCCACCCCAGCCCTCTCTCCTGCGTGGGGGTGGGGGCTTGTTCGGGCGTCCAGACGACCGGGAAGGTCCTGCGTCCACTCTTGGGCCTCCGGCCACAGCGGGGAGGTATAACACAGAGTCTTTTGGTTTCCTTTTGAATTCTCTCCTTCCTCTTGTCCTGCTCCACCACCACCACCTTCTTCTTCTTCTTCTTCTTCTTTGTAAATAGAAGACAAAAAGAGTTTTCGTTTTTTCCTTTCCTTTTCCTGGTTTCTTTCCACGCACATACACACACCCCCTGGGCTCAGTTGGTTTCACTGGTGGGAAGGTTTTAAAACACCCCCCAGGTTGTGGTCCTGATATTTTTTTTTTGGCGGACTCTGTTTGAAACCTCGGTTGATATTTTTTTTTTTGTCCCCGGCGGGGATCTGAGAAGGCCAAAGGGGGTAACCCCCGATTTCTTTGGTTGTGCTTCGAAGAGGAGCACAGCTTGACTTTGTTCCTGTCCCCCCCACTTCATAGGGAGGGGGGCAGTGTCTCCAAATGCGGCTCCCTTTAAGACTGGGTGGACTCCAACTCCCAGAATCCCCCAAGGCATCTTCGCTAAGGTTTCAACCCCGCCTGCAATCTCTCCGCCAAGCAGGCTAGGGGAATGGGGGATTCTGGGAGTCGAAGTCCACGGGACTTAAAAGGGGGCCCCCTTGGGAGACCGTCAGCCCTGGTTCAAACCAATGGACCTTCTGAGGATGGGCAGGAGCGAGAAAGGCGCTTGGCCAGTTTTTTGTGGGGGGGGGAGAAAAAGGTGGGCCAGGCCACTCTTCCCTCCCCCCCTTTTTTTGTTAAAATATTTTCAGAGGTGTACATGGCAGAGTTTTCGACTGTAAATAAAGAGACGTAGTCCCTTTGCAAGTTTCTACAGCGGCCTCGGCTCTTCCTTGATATTATATTTTATTTGGGGCTGGGGCGGGGAGAATAAGCAGGTAGACTGCCCTGCCGTGGGAGGCTTACTTCCGGCCGCGCAAGCGCCCGTGTGCGGCGTGACGCCCGCTTGACGATGCAGGTGCTCACTTCCGGTGGTGCCTCCCCCCGCCCACCGCTAGCTTGGCCATGTGACCCTGCACGAGCGAGAGGGCGGTTGGACGACCATCGGGGCGTGGTCTTGCGTGATGACGTAGAGGGCGGAGAGGGGATTCTGGAAAGGGGCAATGGAGTGGCGCGCGTGACGCATGCGCAGTAAAGAGAAAGGCGGTGTATTTCATGTGCGCCGGAGGCAGGGCAAATGGGTGCCTTAAGGAGGAAGCGAGTAGGGTATTTGACGCATGCGCGCTGAGAGGTTGCTGTAGGGCGACACTCCGGGGCGGAGTGCTGCCTGAGCGCATATGCGCAGGAGGGTGAGAGGGAGGGGTGGGCGGAGTCGCGTAATTGACGCAGAGCGAAGGCAGTAGGACGACTCTCCGGGGCGGAGTGTTGCTTGGGACGCATGCGCGCTGCAAGGAGGGAAAGGCGAAAGCGGCACGCCTATGAAGCATGCGCACTAGAGAGGGTGGGGGGGAAAGAGCGAGGGCGGCAGGATTCCCGGGAGGCGGGGTTCCGAACGTGACGCACACGCACTACAAAGCGCTCCCCTCGGCGGCGAAGCACGACGCATGCGCTCCGAAGAGAGG